CATCTCTGGAGCTGGGGACTGGCAGTTGGGGCTGCTGGTTAGTTGACAGTTGGTGATATGTCTTGTGATTGGCTGCTGTGCTGAGATAGCCTCACTCTATAAATAGAGGGAGATCTGGCAGCAGAGAGATAAGGACTGCTAGTCTCTCACAACTCTGAGCCATTTGTAGTGCTTATAATTTAACTGTTCATTTCTTATATTATATATCTGTATATAACTTAACAGTTCATTTCTTGTTATCTAATTATCTTTATAAATAAATATATTATCAGCAATTTGATTTTATCTCTCTAGAGAACCCTGTCTAAAACAGGTATGTATGTAAAATCTATATCACCTTACAAAGTCAGCCCCCGAGATATGTAAGAGGGTAAAAAGAAATCGTGTACTATATAGTCTGAATGCTCCCACTCCTAAATCACTATATGCAACTTAAAATAAATTAAGAAAATATGTCTCCCTCACTGTCATTGAGTCAATCCCCTGTAGGTTTCCGTGACTGTTTATGGGAACAGAGAGCCCACTCTTTCTCCCAAGGAGCTGTTGGTGGTTTTGAATTGCCAACCATGCAGTTCAAAAGATAGCAGCCCAAAACACCACCACTACACCACCAGGGCTCCTTAAAATGTGCCAGAACTCAAAGAGAAATTCCCAGAAAAAAAGAAGAATCAGTGAACAGTAGATAAAACCAGGGAGGCAAGCAAATTCTTTGCTCAAGTATCAGTTTTGCAAAGAAGATGCCTCTGACCACTGTATTTAAATTTCAACCCTTATGCAGCTTCCCTGCTTTGTTTTTTATTTTTTATCATGCACTTAGCAACATCTAACATCCTGTTATTGCTATATAATATGTTGTCAAGTTGATTGCAACGAATGACAATGAACTTTGGACAGAGTGGAACTGCCCCACAGGGTGTCTGTGGCTGTAATCTTCTTAGGAACAGAAGAGCAGAGCTTTCTCCGGCAGAAGAGCTGGTGGTTGAAGGTAATTTCATGAAACGCTACATCAGCGGCCAATTGCTGAACTGCTGTACCACCAGAGTTCCTTCTGACACCCTAAACAGCTGAGTTATTTGTTATCTGTCTCCCTCTCCTAGAGTGTAAATTTTATGGGGTCAGGGTTTTCTCTCTTCCTGGCTGCCTACCGAGAATCTAAAATAAAGCACAGCTTGAAGTAGGCACTCAAAAAATTACTGAAAAATGAATAATTGTTTCATATAAGAGAAATTAAAATAAAAGAATACTAAAACAAACAAGAAAATAAATAAAAATTAGAGAAAAAGGGATGCAAAAAGATCATAGGCAAACTGTTTGGGTAGATTTAGTGATGTTAAGAATCAACTTTAAGACAAACTTTTTTTTTAGGGACTAAGACTGTAACCTTAATGGCGAAAGGTTCAATTCACCAGGAAAAATAAATAATTGCAATTCATAGTAGTGGACTAACAAAATACCCTACAACTACATAAAGCTTTAACAGAACTAAAAGGAAAACTAAAAAAATCTATCACCATAGTTACAAATTACGACACAGCTCTGCTTAGGATCACCGCATGATAAAAACAAAAGAAAGAATAATACTAGGAATTAAACATATATAGATCCATCAGTGCCCAGAATGAAAGACATAATATTTTCGAGGCATGTGGAAATCTGAATGCTAATATTTGATATGAAATATTTCTGTTCTTTGACATATAATGGTATTGTAGTCATATTAAAATAATGACAACCCTGATCTTTTAGAGCAGCGGTTCTCAACCTGTGGGTCACGACCCCTTTGGAGGCGGTTGTTGAATGATCCTTTCACACGAGTCACCTTAGACCATCGGAAAACACAAAATTATTGCACAATATATAATTACATATTGTTTTGTGATTAATCACTATGCTTTAATTATGTTTATGTTCAATTTGTAGCAATGAAAATACATCCTGCATTACAATTCTTAACAGTAGCAAAACTAAGAGTTATGAAGTAGCAACAAAAATGTTATGGTTGGTGGTCACCACCACATGAGGAACTGTTCTAAAGGGCTGCGGCATGAGGAAGGTTGAGAACCACTGTTTTAGAGAGATACCCTGACATTTTATAGTAGAACTAAGTGATGCTTGGTAAAATGGGGCATCAGTGAAAGAAAAGAAAGATCTTCTATGGTACTGGCTGACCCGGGAGCTACAACAATGGGCTCAAATATAACAATTAAAAGGATGGCAAAAGACCATGCAGTCTTCTGCCCCGTCCTACATGAGGACACTGTGTGGAATCGGAACAGACCCAACAGTGCTTAACAACAAATATGATGTCTGGAGTTTGCTTCAAAATAACCTTAAAGGGAGCAGTAAACAGGTTGTGACTAAGGCATGATTGGCAATATTGGTTGGGGGTAAATTACATGAGAAATCATTATAATACCTTTGTTAAACATGAATATTCAAAATTCTCCAAAATAAGGTTTTCTAAAATAGGAATTAGTGAAAAAAGTAAAACTGAAAATTGGTTCTTCAAAGTCACCTATAAAGTAGATAAATCTTTCAGAAGAGATGTATAAAGGGGCATCAGAGAACTTTCAGGAGTGATACACTTGCCCTCTGTCTTGAATTGTACAGTTGTTACTATCAGATAAGTTCTGATAGTTGTATACACGTAACTATACAACTGATAGTGATTTAGAAATAAAAACCTAGAGTGGCCCTCCCACCGAATTAAAAAACTCTAGGCCAACAAATTTTAAAATGTAGGGAAAAAAGAAACATTGTTATTAAAATCTCTAAAGAAAAACCAGAAACTACAAGGCAAAGAAAATACTAGGCAAATTTTACAGGCAAGTTATAGCTGCAAATAATTCTAGCTTTGCACAAATTATTCCAGAGTATGGAAAAAGAAGGAACATATGGAAACCAGGCAAGAAAAATTATAGGCCACCTCACTTCTTTACTGACACAATAAAAAATTCAGACCTACCTCACTCATTGCCATCTACACAACTTAATAGCAAAACAATTTTCAAAAACACTTTTTTTTTTAACATGAGGAAAAAGATAAGGATGTTTGCTAACCCCACTTCTATTAATACTAAACTGGAGATATTGTTAGTACAATGAAATGTTTTATTTTTTAAAAATATACAAAGCATGTCTATGTACAAAACTCAAAGGACCCTGGAGATAAACCTAATAAGAGAGTTCATGAAATCAAGTGGAAATGCCCACTGTGGTTCTTTATATCAACAAGGAAAGCAAAAGTTCAGGAATATGTAGAACTAAATATGTTTAAGACTTCTATGAAAGAAATTAAAAACTTTAGGGACTTTTAAAATGATATAAAGGAATATATCATATTGAAAAATTGATATATATATATATATTTAAAATTGATATATTTTTGTGGTATTGAAATTTCATAGGCCAAAGAGTGAGCTGGTTGGGAGGAAATACTGCTTGACAAGGCTCATCAGGGAAGTGATAATGAGAAAGAGGTTGAGAAACATTATCTAGGTGAATTTTAAAAACATAATGAGGAATGAAAAACAAGTTACAGAACAATACACACAGTGTGAAGGAGCTTCAAAAGGCTCAGGTAAATGGAATTTAAAATAATGAGATTTTTCTACCAACTTTTTGAAGTGTCCTGGTAGAATACCATTTGTAAAAAATGGAAAAGTACACAAAATAGTACACTGTCTAGGGGAATACACACAGGTGGTTAAACTATAATACAAGACAAAATTCAGAGTGGAGTAGGTAGAAGCAGGTTGCAACCTAGGAGAGACGGCATATATAAAAAGATGCAAAAGTGCTGGCTGGCTGTGCTGTGTTCTTTTGAGCTCGGACGGTACAAACAATGAGTGTATTTTATGATTCCTCGTCCCTTATTTGTATGTTCTGTGTGCACGGCTCTTTTTAAATTAAAATCTATTTCACAATATCACATAACCATTCCCTATACACAGTATCTTAGTAATTTCACTTTAACTACATGAAGTCTTTGCACTGACTGATACTATTGTCAGTAAATCTATGCTATTAACAGTAACAAAAAGGGGCTTGTTGGGTGGTTTGTTGGTGTTTTAGGGGGTGTTGTGTTGTCAGAAGATAAAGACTCTCAAAGACAAGGCATCGCTACTCATACCCAGCCGCCATGCTGAATGATGTACTCAGCTGCATGGTCCTCCAGATATGTCACGCCAAACTGTAGCAGTGCACTCAAGGGTTCTTGACCACGTCTTGTCAACTCCAAAAGTGTTTGCCGCAGTAAAACCAGAGGCACCAAAATCTTCAATACAAAGGTGAGAGATTCAGAAAACAAACAAAATTTCTTATCATTTTATATGCTTAATTATAAAAAATTAAATTCAACTACATTATAAAATCTTGTTTTATTTTAATAAAGGAAATAAAATACTAGCCACTAATTGGATTTTTCTGTATTTTACCAGTGGTCTTATATAACAAGGTGGTAAAAAATTACTATTCTAGGAAAATAAGTGGGCTCCTATTATATAAATGGTGCACCGAATCCCATGAATACACATAATTTCATAACAATCCCATGAAATAGTCATGATCTCTACCTCTAAAGATAAGGAATTGAGAATTCATGAAATCAAGCAAGCTGAGTCTTGTTTTGTAATACAGGAGTTAAAGTCAGCTTTAACTTTAAAGCCCATCATCTACCTTTATGCAAGTAACAAGACCACACCAGTCCATTCTGAGGTGATTTAAAAATACAGTATTTAAAAGTAAGCAATTAAAAAAAATCAAAACAAAACAAAAAGTTAGCAATTTAGCTAATCAATTGTAGCTTATAAATAAAGATAAACGCACACACATAAACATGTAACTGAGCAAAATGTTACCAGTGGTAATCCCTGCTGGATTACCTGGATAGTGAAAGTTTGAACCATTATTATATTTTAAAATCTGTATGTTTTATAGTAAGTACTACTTTAATAGTAAGAATCACTAAATTCTTTTTTTATACATAGAAGCTAACCATATTTTTAAAAATCAATCACTGCATAGCATGTATACTCTGTAGTATGATCATACTTTGGTAAAAAAAATATATAGAAAAAAGATTATGAGAAAAACTATCAAGATATTAATGGTGGGGTTACAGGAGCCTGAAAATGGACCACACAGCTAGCGGCTCACCCAACAGCCATTCCCCGTTTGCACTGCATCTCAAACCTCCATCAAAACCCTGCATTCGGCCTAGCCCCAGATAATAAATGATGACCGATTAAAGTCAATATGACAGTGCTATTTCTTGCTGCTAAAAACTTGCGTTCTCAGCCTGTTGTGCGTCTGGGGTTGGCCACATAATCCAGTTCTGACAAGTTCAGCTACAGGGCCTCTGGGAAATTTATGTGAGCAATGAGCACCGGTGCTGTCAACCGTAGATGTGCTACTCCTCCTCCAACAGCCATCCTGCAGCCACCAGAAAACAAGTTTGACAAAAGCCAAACCCACAAGGCAGAAAGACGGTGAAGCTGAAACGCGGAGGGCAGAGCTCAACTGCTGACGCAACTGGAACACAGCCAAGAATACTGTCAGCTATGATTTCTCTTACTTGTCGTCAAATACAACACAATTCTGGTTACTTTTTATTTTTGTACATCTAAATTTTCTCAAAAAATGTTTCTCATATATTTGTATAATTAATAAAAAGAATATGGTTTGTGTGGTAGTTACACAATCTGGTGTCAATTTGGGACTTGAGAGGATTTAGTGTGAAGGGGTGGAATCTAGTCTGTCAATCTTTGTATAGCCAATTAGGCCTCTGTGTGGGCATGGCCTTCTGGGAATTCCTGAATTTCCTCCTTGGAGGTGGGAGACAGTTCCCCACCCCTCCCCCTTTAAGACACTCTACTGACAAGGCTGACTCCCTGGGAGACATCCTTGAGAAGCCACAGAGACATACCCTGATGCAGCCCAGGGTGCTGGAGAACCCTTGCCCAACACTGAGATGCTAACACTGCCACTAGATTCAAAGACTTTCTACTCAATGGCCTGTGATCGTCCTGCATTTGGCGTCATTACATGTGTTTCCCGAGTCTGAAGAGGACCTTATAGAATCGATATCAGACATACAGGTTACTATCAGACTTAATGGCTTGAACTGGACTGAGTTGGGATAATTTCTTAGTGTACAATTACCCTTTATATAAAACTCTCTTATACACGAGTGTCTATGATTTGTTTCTCTAGTCTACTCAGACTAACACAGTTTGTATTTTACCAAAGCACTGGGTTTTAATTTTATCTATATAATTTATCCATCACCTGTTTGAAAATACTGATGATGTTCCTAGATTTGTTTTTTCGTCCTTTAAAAAAGGTGCTTTTTCAAGGGTACTTAAAAAGAGCTCTAGTGGCGTAGTGAGTTACAAGTTGGCATTTGAATACATGCTCACCCTGACACCCACTCTAAAAGAGATGAGGTTTTCTGCTCCTACAAAGAGTGATAGACTCAGAAACCCACAGGAATTCCGCTGTCCTAAAAGGACACTAAGAATTAGAATTAACTCAATGATAATGAGGAGGGGACTTCAAAAAAAGCTCATTGAAAAATTGCATTTTCCATGACATTTTATAAGTCCCTCTGTATTTAAAATTATGTCAACTGACAGAAAAGATGAAAATGCTGAAAACACAACACAAAAACAAAACAAAAGGGGGACATCACGACTGACCTGGTAGAAATGAATTATTTAAAAAAAAGTTACGAACAATGAAAGACACAACATGGATACGGAAGATGAAAAGAATACATTCTTAGCAGCATACGACCTACCCAAATGACCCAAGAAGAAATAGGAAGTCTTAACAGACCCCTAACAAGTGAAGCTATGGAATCGATGGTCAAAAATCCCCCATCAGAAAACAATCCTCAAGTTATGAACCACAGCATCCAAACCAGAGATTTCATATAAGCATTGTTTTTCGGACGACGAACTATTTAAGCTGCGTCACCAAATACAGCATGCGCCAGCTGGGCATCGTAAGCTGCTGGAATCAAGATTATGACTGTCTTCAGACCGCCATGCTATTAGCTGGATTTCTACTTGAATCAAAACTAGAAACCACCTAGTGGAGAACATCTTCTGGGTTTTTTAAAGCTTTAAATCATGAAATTCACCCACTTAAATCACACCACTCAGAGTTTCTAGCACATTCTCACAGTTGTGCAAAGATTACTATAGACCATGTTCAGCCCTCCAACAGGAAACTCACACCCAGCAGCTACCCAGTGCCACGGAGTCGATGCAAGCTCCTTGCAACACTACAGGGCAGAGTAGAACAGGTCTTCAGGGTTTCCAAGACTGTAAATCTTTCATGAGCGCAGAGAGCTGGGAAGTTTGAACCACCAACCCTGCAGTTAGCAGCCCAATACTTAGCCTGCTATGCTATTAAGGCTCTTTTAGCCAGCAGTATCATTCCTTCCTTATTCCTTTTTTTTCCCCGCAGTACCTGGTAACCATGATCCTACTTTCTAGCCTGCTATGCTATTAAGGCTCTTTTAGCCAGCAGTATCATTCCTTCCTTATTCCTTTTTTTTCCCCCCAGTACCTGGTAACCATGATCCTACTTTCTATCTTTCTGGACTGAACTACTGTGCACATTCCACATAAATGAAACAATGCATCACACCCAAGTTTCTCCCCATCCTGGGCAACACTTTATTGCCAAACTTTTTGCCATTCTAGGGGGTAATTAAGTGGTGTCTCACTGAGGTTTGAATGTGCATTTTCCTGATGACTAATGACGTGCCTAATGGCCATTTAGGAACCCCAGTAGCAGTGTAATTACACATTTTATCTTTTTTTTTTTTTTCACTTATCACTTGTACTTTTGGTGTAACATCCCATACCCAAAGAACCCACAGTCTATCCCTACATCATGGACATTTATTCCTATGTTTTCTTTTAAGTACCGTACATACCTGGGTGTAAGCTGACCTGAATATCAGCGTAGGCACCTAATTTTACTGCAAAAACTGCTTTAAAACTCGGCTTATACTCGAGTAATACATGGTATTTTGTAGTTTAAAAAAAGTTACTATGCATCATAAAAATTGTTTCTGACCTTGGGAAATTTGGTACTTTTTCCTTATTTGCTGCTTAAAAACAACACATTTAAATAATTAAAACATAAGCATTTTAAATTACTAAATATTTACTATCACTCATACTTTTTAAAAAATAACTTTTATTGGGGGCTCTTACATCTCTTAGCACAATCCATACATTCATCCAGTGTGTCAAGCACATTTGCACATATGCTACCATCATTTTCAAAGCATTCTCTTTCCACTTGAGCCCCTGATATCAGCTCATTTCTTCCCCATTCCTCTCCCACCCTCCCTCCCCCTTGATAAGTTATAGATTATATGTTTTCCATATCTTACATTGTCCTCCATTGCCCCTCACCCACTTTTCCGTTATTCATCCCCCTGGGAGGGGGTGGTTCTAGGTTGATTATTGTGATTGAGTCCCCCTTTCTTTCCCAACCATCCCCTAATCCTCCTGGTATCTCTACTCTCATTGTTGGCCCTGAGGGGTTTATCTATTCTGGATTCCCTATGTTGTGGGCTCTTATCTGTAGCAGTGTGCATGTTCTGGTCTAATCTAATTTGTAAGGTAGAATTGAAGTCATGATAGCAGGTGGGAAGGAAACACCAAAGAACAAAGTTGTGTGTTTCATCGGTGCTATACTGCACCCTGACTGGCTCATCTCTTCCTTGTGACCCCTCTGTGAGGGGATGTCCAATTGTCTACAGATGGGCTTAGGCTCGCCACTCCATGCCTCACCGCCCCGCCCCCCCAATTCACCTTGGGTATGGTTTTATTCTGGGTCTTAGATGCTTGATATCTGACTCCATTGACACCTCATGATCACACAGGCTGGTGTGCTTCTTCCATGTGGGCTTTGTTGCCTCTCAGCTAGATGGCTGCTTATCTTCAAGCCTTTAAGACCCCAAATGCTATTATCTTTTGATAGCCGGGCACCATCAGCTTTCTTCACATTTACTTATGCACCCCATTTGCTTATGCACCAATTTTGTCTTCAGCAATTGTCAGCAAGGTGAACATCACAGAATGCCAGATTGTTAAAGCAAAGTGTTCTTGTGTTGAGAGTACTTGTCACTCATACTTTTAAAAGTGAAAATTATCACCTTTAAAAGATATTTGAAGTGATGGAGGAAAAGTTTTTGCTTAGGGGAAATGAGTTTATGTTAATGGTGGTGAAACAATTGGGAGAGGGATATCA